TATCAAGTTGGCGTTGAGCGATAAAACCACCTTAACAGTTTTGATTATTAAAATTGTAATTCCAATTAGTAAAACTAAGTTTCATGAGCAAAAGATCCCGCACGTTTCCTTGGATTTGATATATATATATTTTATCAACGCAAATACATCTATTCAATTAAACGCACACATATTAATAATTCGTAGTGAACAATTTCGTACGCTAAAAATCTCCTAAAAATTAAATATTTTTTTAAATATAAAATTCAGCAATTACAAATTTATTTTTTTATTTGCGTATACATGAGGGACATTATCAAACATTTGACGTCCTGCAAATATTAGAGTGAGAGGTTTAATGATGAATCTTTTTTTTTACACGTTAAAATTTCACTCGTGTTCCCAGACGGCTAATCTCGCGAACCGATGCCGACTCTTCGCGAAAAACGGATGACTTTCGTAAAAATCCTCTGAGGCGATATGAGCATACGGGCTGCTCACACGGCGATTTCTCTACGATTGATTGTACGAAAGCTTTTCTCTTCAGACAGAAATCGGTTGCGGTGTCGCGTAGACAACATTTGCTTTTTCCCCGGATTTTATATATGTATGTGCGCGAAACCGACGGACGGAGGTGTTCGTAAGCTCGCGACTGATCGATGCAATTACACACCCGGCCGATTTGTCCGTCGTATCCGGTTGCCGATAATTAATTGGGAGGGCCCGATAGAGGTTGCTGCACCGATAAACACGCGCCGCGCCGGAATGAATCGGTGACGCACGTCGTCGGTAAACGATCGAATTAACGATTATGATAAATGCGACCGGGCCGGGTGTGCCGGGGATTCTAGCGCTAACAGATTAAATTATTTTAACATGCGACAGGTCTCGGTAGCATTCAAAATTCTGCGTATTAATGACGCTCGGATGAGAGGGAAGAAATAAATTAATTGAAAACTTGCAACTTCGAATATTCCAGGGAAACGGCGAATTTGATCGCCGACGATATCACGAAATACGGATTCCCTCGATTGATTATAGCATTTCAACGCAAGAAAGAATCTTCAATTTCCTTTAACTTTACAAACTGTAGATACGTTTTTTTTTTTTAATAAGATAATAAAATCGATCCCGCTTATTAATATTTACAATGACGTTAACCCTAGTATACACACTGTTTTTTTGACAATGTCGTATACACACTGGGGTCCCGAGGATCCCATCCATATTTATTATTGTAACTCTAGTAAAAATGGACATATTTCAATCAAATTTTTTTTTTCAATCGATAGAGAATCGACCAAGGAACAAGCCCATAATGTTTAAAAGTCGATAGAATTAAGGAGTTCCAAGATATACGGGTTCAAAGAAAAAGGAAAGTTCAAAAAATTTAGCACCTTTTTCAACAAAAATCATATCGCTTTTGTTTATAGACCGATTTGAAAAATCCTTGAAAATTCTGAAAGGGCATGCTTGAAATAGTAACAAAAAATTTGACGATCCGATATTTTAATTTTTTAAACAAAACTACAAGCAGTCTCGGGGACCCCACGCTCCCTTCAACTGTTCACTGGTCGGTTGTTGAGCGATAATTGCCGCGCGTCAACACGTCTTCCTACTGAGGAGATCCCAAACTTTTTTTACGTCAATATCCCAAACTCCTCCCCTCCAAATTTCAGAAATGCCAAACCGCGAAAGTTTCGCTGGGGTCCCGGGAACCCCAATGTGTATATCTAAGGTTAATCGTCAATAACGTCATGAATAATAAACGAACAATATCTCTTTTCGGCAATAAAATAGAAAATTTGCAATTTTGTTACAATTTTTACAATTTTTTTGTATCCGATACACTCGTCTGCGTAAATGTGCGATTTTTTTATTGATTAACCAAAAATGGAAGTTCTTTTCACATTTTTCGCGAGTGTTTTGTGCAATTCTGATGTATATGAAAGAACACCCCCGCGATTGCGTCGAAGAAAACGAAGCGGCGTACACCGTAACGCGCATTTCTGCTAGTGATTGTACGAGTGCTGCTGTACGGCCTAAAGGGATCATATACAACGTACTAATAAATTTAAGTTGCTCTCGAGTCGCGTCGACGACAAGTTCTACGATCGATATCAGCCGGTAGAAACCAGTGCCGTTAATGGTATTTGGAAAATTCTTATACACTTCAACGTTTAATTATTACAACCTTTACGCGCGTAAAATTGTAAATAAACCGATATGCAAATGAAAACGTAAAATCAGCATTAGAGTATGCTTTTTTCTTTTTTATATTTTTATATATATTTTTTTAATATAAAAAACTATTGATAATTACAAGTACATGTACGTCTGTTCAAAGATTCACGTCTTTATAAAAAATGCGCTCTTTTAAATTTTTGTACAAATGTCAGGCAATCACATAACGCGAAAGTTTGCTTTCAGCGATACGTTCGTTAACTGTGGATCCATACAAACATCTCGCAAGTTACTATCCGAATATTGAGTAGCTTCAAAAACGCGAACCTCCCCTCCCCTTCCCCCCTCCGTGCGATGCGTAATATTCGACGCACGAATACGATTCGATGGAATAATTGCAACATTCGCGTAGCATATTTTTCGAGTTTTCTTTCCTGCCCGCTGTTCGAGTATTCAAACCAGTGGCACTGGCCGGGATCGCGTCGGTTATCGATTGGAAAACAGCGTGCATACCAACGGCGTCATACACGTATCACGGCGTTGGAACGTTCGAACAGCATGTTATCGGATATTCACGGCACTGGTTGAACCTATAAATCGCGAGCGTTGCTTTTTTTTTTTACTAGCTATACAACACAGTCTTGTCCTTAAACTTCATCCGATAGGTAATTCGAGGAAATTTTACGGCTGCTAGGCGAGCGATAAGAATTTTCGCTCGTCCTTGCTGAAACTCTCACGTCTGGTAAGATACCGATCGGAGTGTTCGCGATGCTTTAAATCACGCGATATAACGAGCGAAACCGATAAAAAGGCAGACAATAGTAATTAGCAATAAATTCTCTATGACTGATATACGGGCGGCAATATATACGATCCGCGAATTCTCGCGAAGCTATCCCCCCCCCCCCCTCCTCGTACAATTTCGTTAAGGAAAAGAGAGAAAGGGGATGTGCTACGAGTACAATCCCGACCTTTCAAAATTGCGCGAAAACGTGCCGCGACGGCGGGAATGGAATATCTTTCGGATGGAGTATGTTGCTCCCTGCTAAAGTATTCTGATATTGCCTCGACGGTTCGCTGACAAATAATTCCAAGTACTCGAAACGTAATAACTAAAGTAACGTTACTAAAACGTTACTTGAACGTTCGTATAAGGAAACGGTTGTTATATACTTTTATGAATCGCGAAGTTTTTTTTTCGATATGGCTCCTTACAGAAGACCCCGACAACCTCTTGCTGTTAATCTCCGACTAATATCAGTACAAGACGCGAGTGATAATCTCGTGTCTCCGTTTCTCTTCTAAAGTTTAGAGAGCTACGATAACTTCTATTACACTCTTGTGCCTCTGGAGTTCTAAAATCACGCAAACTCGCGAAGTAAGTTTTTGCTACAGATCAAAAAACTTTATCATCTCTACTATCTCGCTATATATATTATACGCGGATCAGTCGAGCTGTGGATTTTTATCTCGCAGCTCTCTTCCTCTCCTGAAATTACCTAATTCTCCAGAAACACGCTCGCGAGAGTAAGTTTCCTACACAATTCTCGATTCTATCTCTGATTCTATCGGACAGACCTTTCCCTCGTCATCGATGCGATCTCCGCGTAACTGTGTGTCTGAAGCGGACGCGTACGACGTGCTTTGCTTTGCAAGAAAAAAAAAAGAGGGGACATCGTTATATCGTAGTTCGTTACATCGACGTACGTACAGTATATTTACATGGTAGCAGTCTTCGCGCACGATCAGTGAGAAAATGCGCAGTAGAATCGTGCCGCATTGTGTTTTACCGGGATAAAGCGGCTGAGCTGCGTGATTCAAGTGCAGGTCTTACTACCCGCGAATAATGCTCGGTCAGAGTGCTCGACTTTTTTTTGTCAGCTTTTCTTAAAGACCCGCGCCGACTAAGCGTTCGGATAAGATTGTCGAATCGTGAGACTCCTATCAAAGGATAAAATTTAGGAGATAACTCTTCAATTCACTATCGACCAGTTGAAGACCAGAATATAGTCGGGGGACGAGCGAAACGTATTAGTGGAACCCAGTGAAAATAAAATTATATGAAATTTGTCTGTTAAAAGCATTTATATCGCAATCGTTTATACTATAATACCAGCATTAAACTGTGTGCCAACACAGATATATGCCGACAATTAAAATCTCGATTTGCGTTCGTAAATTGGTATCAATTTTAAAATTTTACAAAATAAGTCATATATAAAAATTAGAGATAGATAATTCTTTTTTTTTATTTTTTATATAAAATATCGAAAGAAAAATGCAGAACATTTTTAAATTTGTGGAAATAACCGAACAAAAGATCAAAGAAAGTAAATCAGTCTTGTTGCAGAACGCTTTTAGGCCTCCAAAATCGGCCTATACAGACAATTAAAATCGGTTATAATTGCAGCTTTTTTTTTTATAAATTGTGTTTGTGACGTTTACACATTTCATCACGTAGCTCACTCACTTTTAACTGATTTGCACGTTGACGCTAAAAGCCGCGGTCTCACGCACTCTTTCACGCCTGTCTGTGTACACATCTCCCGTTTACAAGTGTGCACAAATCAGTTCGTGTATATATCTAAATAAATTATACTTATATTATGTACAAAAGCAAAGAGACTATGCAAGAGAACGCCTTTTTTTTATTCAGCTGCTCTCCTGCGCTTTTCTCTTTCTTTTTTTTTTTCTTACGCTCTTATTCTCGGCTTCTAAGCGTGCTTATCCCCGAGTCTGCGTATGCATCGTGTACATCGTGTAGGATAATGAGAGAAAGATAGAAAGAGAGAAACGGTCAGTGTGTGTGTAGGTGTCAATTTATTAACTCGTTATACCGGCGTCTTTGGCAGTTTCCTGCGCGTCGGCGACGAGGGCGCTTTATCCGTTTCGGTTTCTGCAAAAAAATATCAAAATGCATCGTATCAATGACGCATGTTGTTTCCGTAACACTGTTTTTCCATCAGCGATGGGCACATCTCTGTCACCGGCCTTTCTCTCCGGCCCACGCGAGAATAAAAAAAATGTACGGCTCGAAATTACCAGTTATTCGTAAGCTTTCGAATGCTGTGAATTAAAAATTTTGAATTCATCACTGCAGGCAAAAATTTAATTTTTTCCCACGGGAGCGGAAAGAGCGAGGGAGAGAGAGAGAGAGAGAGAGAGAGAGACAATTGAATTCCTGTTTGACGAGTTTAAAATTTTTATTTAAATAACTTATAATTCTGAGTCATATTTTTCATTCTCGTGTAGTAGAAGGGCCAATTGCACAGGGATTATAACAAACAGATTACGATGGTGATAACTGATGGTAATAATTTCCTCACTTTGCATAAGTAGAGACGCGCAATTTTATTCTTTAATGGCAAATTCTTTCTAAAACATCGCTTTCTGAATTTAAATCCAGAAATTTAACGCGATCGCGTACATGAATGTGAAGCGTAATGGTTTAACAAATATTCAGGAAAATACTTGTTCGTGTTGCGGATATTTTCGAGGTCAGAACGAAACCATGTCAACGGTCAGAGGCCATTCTCGTCCAAGAATACCACGAAACTTTTTTATCTGTTGTATAAAAAGACACTACTCGTATTACTTTGGAGGAATTTATTTCTAGAACGATGTATATATACAGGTAACCCTACACACGCGACTTCCACCTCTTCAGGTGTTTTCTGTATGACGACCCGCTTTCGAAAGTAACTAATTTTCTCACCACTGACCTCGGATTAACTATAAATGCGATTTTATATTTTATTACGACGGACCGTTCGTATCGTATTACAAATCAGCAGGGGATGTATGTAATACTTTGTTCGGTATTGGCCTAAAGATGTAAAATTCTTTTCATAGAACTCGTATTTGGGGCATGAAAAATCGATAAGCAATAGCCGATTTTACGGTAACTATATGTAATGAAATTTTATATCGCGTTAACTTTTATATCGGTCTTCAATGAAAATGTGGTTCCTTGTATATTGAGAATTACTCGCGAGTTTGTATGTACATAAAATTGTTTTGATATTAACTGTACAATCGAAGATTGTTCCTGTAGGTCTCGGGAGGGGAAATCAAATGTTATTTGCACACAGTAATATTATTCGATCACTTGCGTTTTTTTGGGAGGAAATTTTGCTGCCGATACTCACCCATCAGCAGGCCCAAACTTGTAGGTGTTTTTCCGGCTTGCGGATCATCCAGCAAATCTCCGGTGCTGTTTTGCGAGAGCGCCACAGAGATCGGCCGCCGAGAAACACACGGCGAATACAGAGAATCGATTTACGGTTAGGTCTATTCACGATTGTCTCACGGCGATAACACTCATATGCATTGACTTACATTTCGGTCGTATGCCGTCCACCACCAATTCCGCCACGTCGTCGGTCCGTTCGATTATCTGCTGCACCTCCTCGAAGCTCCGATCGATAAGAGACACGCCGGACCATTCTAGAACCTACAAATATAGCCATTTCGTACAATATTATTTGTATATTATTTGATCAAAATATGATTGTAAAATATTGATGCAAAATTATGAAAAAAATGTTTACTGTGTTCTTTAATGTTAACGTTTACATCTAAAATCACTCGATGGCAATAGTATCTACATGACTGTTTTTATTTTACTTAAATTAATACAATCTAATTGCTGTACACATTTATGACAGTATATTATTTTGAAAGTGTTTCTTATAGTTTAAAAAAGAATATTCTGTAATTACAGAAGAATGCCTTTTTATTATAAATTGTGGAAAAATAAGTTAAAGATTTAAAAAATTCTGTATATCAATTATTTTTTATATTATTTTATCATTTTTATACATTTCAATTTTTCTTTTTGTTCTTTTTTTGTATATGACATTTTTGGTATACAATGATTATTCTTGAATACGTTATTTGCTCGCGGTATGAATTTCATAAAAAAAAACATGAATATCTTAAAATCGTAATTTTTGGACGCTACCTTTGCCGCGGAACAGAATGTCTCATCTCGGACATGAAAGAGAAGAGCAGCATAGCTCAGAAATTCTTGGCAGTTCGAGACCGGCGGCATGGGTCGTGAAATTAATGTTGAAACGCGAGGCAACAGGACCGAATTGCAATCGGTCGTAAAGCATCCGGCCCCTCTTCTCCCCCTCCCCCCTCGGCTCTTTAAGTACTTTAATTACTTTAATTACTTGAGCGGATTGCCGTGAGAGTAACGAAGACGGCGAGATCGTCGCCAGGGGTGACGGTAAGCTGCACAAACTTTTGGGGGCGAGGGGGGAAATCGCCGCGATAATCCTTAGGGCACTTCGGCCGAGGAGACATTAAGATTAAGGGCCCCATCTGTGCCTTAACTCGTTGGATTTGACCATTTGTCACCGCGCGTGAGGTGGAGAACCGCGTGAAAATTGAAGTACAGTGATTATACATGCATTGCAGGCTTGACTACCGGGGACGCGTGCTTACTGTCAAACGTAATCAGCAAACTTAATAAATCGGGCCAATTTTGGGTGATTTTCACGGGTATATGCCATTTCTGGGTTCGCGCAATCGAATTTAACAATGTTGTACCTCCCTTTTCGTGCCGGTCGTCTCGTACTCCTCGTTCCGCCACGATGCGCGCAAAGTGTATAATTATATTTCAATTCACTTTATACTTCGTGCAGAAGTGTCACGCGCTAATTAACGAGAATTAAACATCTGACTATAGGAGACTGTAATTATTTCGGTACGAAAACGCGAAGCGTGGCGGGAGGAGAGGCGAGATTCATATGTTCTTCCGTATTTTTGTTTTTTTCTTCACAGCGAAACATTAAAAAAGCATTTGCAACAAAATACCACGGATATATGAAGTGTCGGGAAGTTGTTCAGATATCAAATCGCGAAGTTTTACGACTCGCCTGTCGCACGCTTGTTTTCCATTGCAACATATTGCACGTGAAATTCGAAAATATTTATTCGCGCCGTCATCTTCTGCCGTATAATAATGCCCTATAGCCCCGGCCCTTTGAGAAATGTTATACCGCGCGCGTTAATTACAGCTACCCGACGGCTTTCAATTAAACCGCGAGTGGAATCGAATGCAAATCGCTGTATGTCGGGGAAGAAGGAAGCACGCGCGATCGATAGCACCGCGGCAGCTATTTTTCTCTCGAAAGTGGGAAAGCGTATAAGAGCGAAAAATGGAACTGCGAACGGTATTTGGAAATCAGTTTATCGCATTAAAATGCGATCGACTGATCGACTGAAGCTAGGCATAACTTCAGTATCTGAGCTGTTTTTTTTTGTTTGTAAATCGGCGAATTATAATGTCTCATTATAATAATTGTTGAAATTATATATTGACGTCTAAAGATGTTGAAAGATGTCAAACGCACGTCACGCGACAAGTGAAATAGCCGATTACTCTCACGTTCTCTTTCCATATAGAGTACATGGAAATATGTATCTCGAGTACGAGTCGGCCCATGTTCTATGCATGCGCATGTCGCGAGAGCATCTCCCATGCATCCTCATGACAAGTTCGCCTCAGTACAACAAGCTGGCACACAATTTTCCTTCACGGGCGGAACATTTATCGTCGTTGCGATGTATAGACAGCGCGACGACTCATATTCAAAGCGCGTGTAAGCTCGGAAATAAATTTTCCATCTGCGTTCATTTGCTAGCAGATTCTTACGAGAGATCTGGCAGTTCTAACGAAAAGAATTTACAAGAGAAGTTACCGAAGGCAAGAAATTCAAGGAAGAAATTTTGAATTCTACCGATATTTGATGAAACGCAAATGCAACGATGATAATATATATCAATTATATGTTCGGATGCTCGGATGTTATCCATGTGTGTGTGCTTGAGTGAAGTTTTCCTTCTTTGGATCAAGAAATGCCTGCGATGAGGAACTTTGCATCGAAATGGAAATATTTTATCCGAGCAGGTGGAGAGGTGTTTCCAACTTTCCAAATATTGTCGAATAGCTTTTGTGTGCGAATCTTTCTGCCTTTACGTATTTCCGGATGCGATAAAGAGAGATTTGTATAAGAGAGGAAGAAAGAAAGAAACGGAGATAAAGAAATAATTTCACGCAGGTGGCGTGGTATCTAATGCAGAATTTTTCATTTGGTCCATCTTTTTTTTATGTTTTATATGTAAAAGTGAACCTTTCGTTTGCTCTTTCAAAAAAGATCTCAAAGCACTTTTCTATGTCCGCTTTGCTTATATTTCAACAAAGAATTCTACTATCTCTTTAACATATTTTGCATTTATTGGACTCTACAGTTTCTTCTTGTCTATTTAACACACATTTTTAGTATTCTTAAAATATCTTCGAATTTTGCAGTTGCACGATTAATTTTACTGTTTCACATTTTGTGTAGATAATTTCAGTTACGTACATAATTTCCTTCGTAAGCTAAAATCTCTCCGAACTTTCCGTCTTCTCGGCTAAATTACTTTCCTTCGTTCTTTTTATTTTTCTCTTAGAACCGTTTCTCCACATTTTGATAATCAGACTCGCTTCAAACTCGCAATAATGCTACCTCACGCACATGCATTCCGCATTATTACATACGCGCACAATTTTCTGTCTCGCTGCTTTAGAACGAGCTTTTCAGCGTTCACGTCACATTATGTATCCACGTGGACGTGTTTTTTTTTTCCCCTCGCTGCCTTGAACCCTTATAAAGGGAAGATTGTGGATGCGGTAACTGGATACAGGAAATGACGCGTATGAAAGCGATCAGCCGTCGCCGGTTCGCCATTTCCGTGATCCTCGTTCATTGTGTAATGTATTGCGCATCGATCAGCCAGAAAAAAAATCCAATATGCGTTCGTCAGAGGAGGACACGCTGAGAAATATTCATAGAACATTGGCGATGACACAATGCCACAAAGTTAACTTGAAAAAAATATATAAAAATGCCGGTATTTAAATGAGATTTAAATACCGATTTATTGGTGCAATCGAAAGCTCGGAGTTAAAATCACGACAATTCGATGCGGTATGCGGGATGTGAGATGCGGGCTGCCGAATTGCGGTAATCGGAATGTGGAAACGGCAATATTTATTACAGGAATTATTAAACAATCGATTTCGAATTTCCGCTTTTGTATTGCAAGATTACCTCCAATGTGGACTAATTTTTTTTTGTAATTGTAATAATAATGATTGTATACCTATGAATTTATAATATTTTTATATTTCGTCTGCAAATATTAATTTATTCTCCATTAAAATTGAAATTCTGATATCGGAAATATCGGCATATTATCTATTATTTTTTCTATCTTTTCCTTTCTGTTTTTACGCAGATATACAGCTTTAAATAAAATGTAATACCTCTGTGAATTTAGCACCCCCATCACTTAAAAAAGTTCAAATATATATGCCATAATTAAATGCTCATTATTGTTTTCGTCGCGAATTTATTGCTCGAACTCATTCGAAAGAAATCAATATTAAATATATATGGGGGTGCTGACTGCACCTTACGCTATATCTTTACTCCCGAAAAACATATACACAGAGTACTGTAAAGAATTGTGATTCTGAAAATGATGACAGCAATCAATTTAGTAAAAGATCGCAGTGACCTTGATATGTGCTAGCAATTACATTTACCTCTGTGAAAATTTTGGTATACCAAATTCTTTACAGTACTCTGTGTATATGTTTTTCGGGAGTAAAGATATAGCGTAACGTGAAGTCAGCACAAGCGTTCCATATCTCGCCATTTGAAAGCATTATTTAAGATAAAGTGACTCGCGTGCGCCGTTGCGACCGTTCAGTCCTCGAAAAAGGCCGCTCCTTAGTTTCACGTCGTTCCGAAAATTTACAGCACGCCATTCGTTCGCAAGAGTGTGGGAACGCACGCCGTACTCGCGAGCAATAGCAAATCTCGCCTCGCGACGTTTGTAGCAGAGAGGAAAGAGCGTTATGTCTCGTCACACATTTTTCGCGCGATATAATGACGCGAGAAAACCGCGTTTGAGCGACGCAGAGATAAAGCGTGAAACGTGAGATTAATGTGGGCCAGCCCGTATAGAATATTCGCGTGGTGAACGAAATATCACGACTCGACGGATATATAATGCGTGAATATGTATTGTATATGCGGAGTGTGAAAATTTTTTTCAACGGGTTGATGAAAAATAAAATTTTGGAAATTATACGATACTCGCAACATTTTCACGAGGAGAAAATCCACGCTACAATTAATGAGCCGCTGCAAATGCAATTCAGCACAATTCAACGGCGATATTTCGCAGAAAAGTACGCCGGATAAAATAAAAAATATTCTTCAGTTTTTGCATTTTATAATTTATTTGAGATATAACTTTCTAATTTTTTTTTCAGTTGATTAACAAAATAAAAAGTTAGTAAAAAGATACTTATTTTGACTTATATAGCGAATTAAAATAGGAGATGTGTTTCCATTGAAATAATAAAAACTTTCGAAAACATGCATTTAT